CTCCGGTTTCCCCCTGGACTTTATAGAGAAAGGCTGTGTTCCTTGAAAGAATAGAAACCTCTTGGGTAACACAGGAAAAAGGTCAGATAGAAATCTTCTGTCTCCTCTTCTCTCATTATGCTGGGAGGATAAAGGGAGCCAATCTGCTTTTCAAATTGTCTTTTGTTGTTTGTTTTTTACAAATCGTCTGTGCTCTTCTTTCATTTCCTGTTACAAAGACTTGAACGCACATCATTTGCACTGATCTGCATTGCTGATGTGCAGAGATCCAGCAATTGTGACGATTTTCTTCCTCCATTTGCACTGTATGAGGAGAGGAAACAGGGGGCATCTTGATTGCGAGAAATTAAAATTAGATGGGCTTCTGTTTCTCTCCAAGGTGCAGATTTTATTCTTCTTCATGGATGTATGATGGGGTTGGTCAAATGAAGAATGGCTTAGAAGAATCTATGAAATTACCCCAACCTCAGATAAAAAGCAGCCTCTTTTGAGCCGTTTGCCTTCTTTTGAATAACTTTAAAGACAGGTTATTGTCACCTGCTCCATACTCTCTAATTTAACCATTTCATCTCGTCTTCCCACGCCTGAAGCCCTCGTCGGCCGCCAGTTATTTCACACTTTCTCTGTTAATTCCTATGAGTCACTGTGACTTAATTTCTATCTGTAAAGCACATGGGCTGCATCTTGCATGAAAGGTGCTTATAAATAAAGTTTATTATTAGAATTATTAATAATATTACTGTAATTATAACAAGGTACAACAGGCAGGTTTGGAAGGTCACTGTGTATGGATTTAAAAAGAAAATCTGAAACTGTAACGTTTTTTTCCTCATTGAAATGTTTTAACCCAAGTCGGCTACTTTAGGTACACATGAGGTTCAAACTATTGCTGGGAGGAGATTTTGGATCTAGAATTGTAATTGAATACACCTGGTTTAACCCACTAGAAATTAGGAGAATAGGCCTTCTTCCACACTAAATGTAGATAGGCTCATTCTAAGATAAAAGAAAAGAAACGACTGTTAGTCCCAGGGGATTATCCTCATTTGAAAACATAATAATGAATATTACATTCCATTTCTGCCAAAGGACCCCTTCAATGTTGCTCCTTTGACACAAGAGAATGAACTGTTGATTAAGGGTTACAGTGCTGGCGGTAATGGAGTATTGGAAAGGAGTCAGTTTGGTTAGAGTGCAGAGTTAGGAAGGTTCAACACCATGCAGGCGAGGGGAGTAACCGATTACATTACCAGGATACAAAAAAAGGTAACTATATTCCCGGTTTACAGTTACATTAGTAATAGACAGAATCAGATTATTGTTAGATTTCTAAAAATGGGGATTACTAGCAGGATTACATTGTTGTTAAAAACCTAAAAAGAGCATAGCCTATAGAGTTTGTTGTAAAGGATCAGATGTTATCTCTTCTCTGTAAGCTGTACTATTCACTAATACTTTAAGTGTGAATCTATACGCCTATCTGCCTGAATCTGATTTATGGTTTTCACTTTCTTTGTTCATTTGTTCGGTTTTTAATTCAGTAGGTGAACCTATATGTTCATACAATAGTGTGTGTGAGCTTAACTGTGTGTATTAAACTAAAACGGAGCATTTCCTGTCAGCTCAGATTGTATTTCTGCTTTTTTGTGCTCATGTGTTTCCTTGTTGGTGTATAGGCTACTGTCAATTTTGTTAAGGTTACATTGTCCTGTTGTCTTACATAATATACTTTAACAATTTAAAAACATCTGATATATATTTATTTCTCTATCAATTTGCATTGCATTTGATATTGAAGTAATCCAAAATGACCTGAAAGTGATCAGGTTACATAACCTTTTTTTATCTAAATACTCTGATTATGCAAGGCAGGGCAAGGCAAGGCAGGGCAAAGCAAGGCAAGTTTATTTATATAGCACTTTTCTGTACGCGACAATTCAAAGTGCTTTACAAAACAAATTAAAAGACTTTTTTGGAATACAGTAAAAACACATTATATAATGGCATTTTACAACAGGCATTACAAAGCAAAGATAATAAAATAATAAAAATAAACACCACAGGTATACAATACATGTTTAAAAGGCATACTGTAGTTCGAATATGATCATCTCAATTAAAAGCAGCGGCAAAGAGATATGTTTTTAGTCTCGATTTAAAAATAGTAAGCGTTTCTGCGGACGTGCATGATTTGGGTAGTTTGTTCCAGAGTGTCAGGGCATAACAGCTAAATGCTGCCTCTCCATGTTTTGTTGTTACTGTCGGAACCGATAGGAGACCCGTCCCAGAAGACCTGAGGCACCTTGATGGCTCGTAATTATGTAGGAGTTCAACAATATACTTTGGTCCTAAACCATGTAATTATTTAAAAACTAGCAATAGTACTTTAAAATCAATTCTTTGGCCGACTGGAAGCCAATGTAAAGATTTCAGAACCGGACTGATGTGATCCATTATTTTAGTGTTAGTGAGGACACGTGCAGCAGCGTTCTGAATCAGCTGCAGTTTTCTGATGGATTTTTTTGTCAGCCCTGTGAATACACTACTGCAGTAGTCGAGTCTACTGAAAATAAAAGCATGGACAAGCTTTTCTAAGTCCTGTTGTGACATTAGTTTTTTAATTCTCGATATATTCTTCAGGTGATAATAAGCAGACCTAATGACTGTTGTAATGTAGCTGTTGAAATTCAGGTCTGAGTCCATCACTACACCTAGATTTCTGGCTTTATTAGTGGTTTTGTAGTCTGCCGACTGAAGCTCTGCGATTACTTTTAATCGGTCCTTCTTTGCTCCAAAAACAATGATCTCTGTTTTTTGTTTGTTCAGTTGGAGAAAGTTCTGAGTCATCCAGTCAGTGATGTGCTCAATGCACTTGCTCAGTGTTCTAATCGGAGAATAGTCTCCTGGTGTGAATTTAAAATAAATCTGGGTGTCGTCTGCATAGATGTGATAGCTTAGATCGCGAGGTAGCATATAAATATTAAAAAGCAAAGGTCCTAAGATGGAGCCTTGAGGAACCCCGTATGACATATTTGTCAAAGTTGATGTGTAGTTGCCTATTGAGACAAAGTTTTTTCTGTCTTTTAAGTAGGCACTAAACCAATTTAGAGCTGTTGCTGAAACTCCCACCCAGTTTTCTAGACGGTCTAGCAATATGTTGTGGTCAACAGTATCAAAGGCAGCGCTGAGATCTAATAATACTAAAACTAATATTCTGCCACTGTCTGTTTAAATAAATGTCATTTAAGACCAGGTTACATTTTAAATGTTTACAGGCAAACTGTTCCTGTATACACTTTTAAAGTCACCCTCCCACACACACTGATAGCTGTCATGTGTGAGATGAAACCTGAGACCTTCTGGCTGCAGCATGAAAGCCTGCAACTGCCCCCCCCAAAACCCAAAGTGATCTATCCAGGGAGGGCTAAAAATAAGAGAGGACTGGCAGCCATGGCTCGGATTAAATATTGCTGTGTGTCTCTCAGGAGTGTGTTTGGGAGAACGTGGAGTGTGATTGGACACATCTGCTCCTAACAGTGATAATATAAACTTCATTCCTTATATGCGCACCAACATTAGTGCTGCTTGGCCCTTTGTCATATGTGGCTATCAGGGTTGGAAGGGTTAGTTAAAAATGTATTCCGTTATATAAAATATAAAAGTAATGTAACCTGATTAACTTCCGTTGCTTTTGGATTACGTCAATACCAAATGCAATGCAAATAAATACAAGACAAAATAAATATAAAATCTTACACTAAGTGTATTATGTAAGACAACAGAACAATGTAACCTTAGAAATTTGTTTTTTTTAAGAAAAACCTGCATTTCATTAAGCAAATTCAGGAAGTAGACCAACAATGAAACACATGAGCAAATACTCAAAAGCTAATGCGCTTTATTTTATAACTTTTGGGTAATCTGATCACACTTTTTTGTATGTAGCCGTAAGGAAAAAGTTACTTTTATGTATCCTGATTACGTGATCCAGTTACATGTAATCCATTACTCCCAAAACCTGGTGGCTATCTGATTTCTCTCAATTTAAAATCGGGTATGCAGTCAAACAGTCCGTCAGTGGAAATACTCTAAAAAGTCTGATGTCCTATGCAGGGAGATAAATCCATTCGCTTGTTAAACATTTACAGAGACACATGCAACAGTTCTGTTATATTCTCTCATCCTCATAAAAATAGCTCAAAAGCTGGCAGCTGATGCCCTTCCTCTGCTTTCCTTTGTCATTACCCCTCATCCGAAAACGGGGCCAGACCCCTTATGTCTGACGTGAAATACGCTTGGGATTCTCTGCTGCCCCAGATATATCACCCACACTCACTTTATCCCAACCAGTAAACAGTAATATTAGTCACCTTTAGCAGGCTCACATTCATAACCATTCATATTTCTGATTTATGAGAGGCAATATGTTCACTCGCGCTGTAGCTTTAACACTTATTATTCATAATTAATCATATTTTTTTATTGTTTTTTGGTTTCATTTCCCCAACACATCACAGTTCACATTTAGAATCAGGAGGACAGCAGGACCAAGGGGACCCCTGTTATCATATTCACATCATATTTTATTACTGAGGCCAGCCATGGTCAAGCTACGCAGTGAAACATACAAACCGGAAATACGATGTTTTGACATTCAAAATAAAAGTATAATATTTGTGACTGAGGTTTAAAGAGCCCGCTGAACATTTTTAATTTCTTGCGTGACCTGTGTCCTTACGCCATAGAACCAGAATGAAACATAATATATATTCTAATAGCCAAAGCCAACTAATTTACCAACTTACTTACAAAAACTTGGATATGCAATAAACATACTGTTTGGTTCTAATTTAATACAATTATTTGTGTTGCCCAAAACCTAGAATATGAAATATAACAGTCAAATTGTTTATGGGAACACGAATTTAGAAAAAAATGATCGGTCAGTTGTGTCCCTCTCCTGAGGCTACTTCCGGTGTTATTTCGGTGCTTTTGTTTTCACACAGTCAGGTGAACACTCAGGACATGTTGCGCGTGTTCCTCCGCTCTGTGACTCCCATGGCTCCAATGTTCTGGTAGTTTTCTTCACTTGACATGGACATGGAGCCTCTGGACGTGGAGGCTCTGAACTTCACGGTGGAGGCTGCGGCGGGGCAGCCCCTGTGTGAGGCGTGGCGGGAGTCCGCGGAGGGCTCCGTGTTCCACCTCGCCAATATCCTCCTGTTCCTCGGCTTCATGGGCGGCAGCGGCTTCTACGGGCTCCTCTACCTCTTCACCTTCCTCACCCTGGGCTTCTTCTGCTCCACCCTGTGGGCCTGGGGGGACCCCTGCACCACGGACTCCTTCCTGTGGAGCTTCGCACTGTTCGGGGTGTGTCTGGGACAGGTGCTGCATGTGTCCTACCGCCTGAGGAGCGTGTCCCTCAGTGAGGACTTCCAGGAGCTCTACAACTGCATGTTTAAGAAGCTGGGGGTGTCGCTCACTCAGTTCGGGAAGATAGTGACCTGCTGTGAGGGAGACATCCACACCCTAGAGAGGGACCAGTGCTTCGCCGTGGAGGGGAAGACTGCCATAGACAAGCTGTCGGTGCTGCTGTCCGGCAGGTGACCTGTGTTTACCTTCAACATGAATATAGTCTGACACTTTCTGTAGGCCTATTTCAAGTTGTAATGAAGTTTTGCACTGCAGGAGATTATTATTAACCAGAGGTGGAATAAGTACTGTATTTGAATAAAGTAAACGTACCAGAGTGTAGGAATTCTCATGTAAGTCCTGCATTCAAAATATCACTCAAGTAAAAGTAGAAAAGTATTTCAATCAAAAATATTGTTAAAGTACCAAAAGTAAAAGTAGTCATTGTGCAGATTGGTCCATTTCAGAATAATATATATGATATGTTTAATAATGATTGATCATGAAAGTGTTCTCAAAGCTGGTAAAGGTGCAGCTAGTTTGAATGACTTTGTGTACTGCAGGGTAGCTTGTGGATTTACTCCAGGTGGAACTAAAGTCTGATTCAACACTTGATTATATTTCACATCATTCATCCACATCTGTAATCTTAAAGTATTCAATACATTTAGTGGAGTAAAAGCACACTATACCTCTGAATTGTATTAGGGTAGAAGTAAAAAGTAGCAGAAAATGGAGATACTAAAATAAAAGTACCTCAAAATTGTACTTAATAGTACAGTAAATCTACTTAGTTACTTTACATCACTGAGGCTAACAACAAACAAAATAAATTGTGCATCATAAGAAACATTTAAAAACATTTCTGTGGGGATGCATATGACACAGTTCAACATTTTTTTAGTTTTTGTTAGTGCACAAACTAACATAAAAAACATAATTAGTATCTATTACAAATTATGCTATCATAGACGCTTCATTTGTAGGTGGCCTAGGGGGCCCAAGCTCAGCCCTCCCCTAGAAATGCAGGTGTAAACATGTCCCCATTAAAGCCAATAAAACCATCCTGTGTTTTATCCAAGACAATACAGCATAGAATGCATTCTAATATTAAAAGATTACAAAGTGTTACTGTCATGTGCCCAATAGCTACCTCATAGTTGTTGACAGAGTCTGAAGTCTCTGGCCCCTCCAACAGAGCAACATACTTTTAAGACATAAAGAGAAACAACATCAATGCTAATGAATCAATGGTGCAAGTTAAATGCAGGAATAGGTCAAATATATTCGTGCTAAATGAAATAATGAACTCAAAGTCAAATTAAATACTTTACAGTGGAATTCAAAATGATATTTTTCACTATTTTCCATCTAGAGTAATTGTCTTACTTTGCTATATGCACTAGTGCTTCTGATTTCCCGCTGGCTTCATTGGTGATTAGCAATGCTGTTTATAATAATTGACCTATCCAATTCTGGGAGGAAATAGTGTTTTTATTTCATCCTAAAAACATCTTTAAAATGAATGAACATGTGTTGGTTAAGATGAAGTCTGTTTAAACATTTAACTCTAAAATGTGGTGAATAATATACATTTGTAATTGGATGGTTCTTTTAAGCTGACTTATGTCCTCTTACAACAGCAGACACGTTTTTTAAAGGTTTGCATATTTAAACATCACAAGGTATTATTCTTTGGCAGATTCTGTCAATCTTGCATTAACATTCACACACTTTAGTTTGCCATCAGGAGCATTAGCTGGTTGGTTCTGTTACAATTACTATAACTTAGTCAAATGTCATCAGTAAGCTTATCTGAGTATCAACATATGAAGATAAAGATGAACCTTTATTGGACCCCTAGGGGGAGATTCAGTGTTCCACTCTGTTTGTACATATGTTATGCACGCACACTACAAATACACACAGGTATGTGTGCACACTAAAGTCATTTAACCTGATTACTTTTGGATTACGTCAATATTAAATGAAGTGCAAACAAATACTAGAGAGAATAAATAATTGTTAATGAAATGTTTTTCTTAATTAGGAAGAATGAAAGTAACCTAAATGAAAACCAAAAAGTAATTCAAGCAATTGCATGGACATCCCACTGATAAGCTGCGTACGAACACAGTGTTGTTGTGTGTACAGTTGTTGCGTTGACTTTCACTCCCTGACTGTTTTCTTCTAATATTGTTTCCTATTGGAAGGGGGGTGAGTAATGTCACCTGTCTCTCCGTTCTCCTACAGAGTCTGTGTGACGGTTAACGGAGAGTTCCTGCATTACATCTACCCCTTCCAGTTTCTGGATTCACCTGAGTGGGACTCTCTCCGACCATCGGAGGAGGGGGTTTTCCAGGTCAATTGAACACACAAACATTTAACACATCTCAGTTATTAATAACTCAGGAATATCATTGCAACCATACACTGTTATGCCTGTAACCCACATTTTAGATTCATACACCTTTATGACACCATCAGCTTAACCTAAATGACTCATTTGTTACATTCATGCCAATAAAGCATACTAATAACCACCTGATTGAAGGATAAGGCTTACACACCAAATTCTGTATTTACCCAATCAATCTTAGTAAATGAAATGGTTACTATAAACATTATTGTGTGTGTGTGCAAATTCTGATATATTGTTACAATTATTTTCTTCGTCACAACAGCAAATTTGACATGTCATGTCATGAAACACGTAAGTTTCAATGAAAAGCATTTACGATAACAGCGTTCTATTTTTAGAGAGCCACGCCTGGGTCCTGGTCCTGGTCTGGTCACTGGATACTTCAACATTTGCTCATCTTATTAGAAACTCACCAATGGGCCACAGTGGTGCACTAGTCGTGAACACACTAGTTTATCTTAGAACGTTTATTTTTATCTTTTGGGGCATTTTGCGGCCAATATCAATTATGTTTCTAATGTTTGCCCATGCATACCAACAAAACTGTCCTTTCCACGAATGATCAGACTTTGAACATTAACATTGTTATGGATTATAGAAGGAATGAGTCCTAAACCCTGATATGAGTTTCCATTATAGCATTTCTGGGTCGCTCGTCTCGAAGTCAGTGGTTTTTCAAGGTTTCTTTGGTTAGATTTCTGAAGTTAGGTCTGTGGTTCACACAATTTCCTCGTTTTGTTCGAGGACATAAAACAAGTCAGTAAAAACCCCACTGGTTAATGTCTAAAGCTTCTTAAAAATGTTGGTTGATAACTAGGGATGCACGATATTGGTTTTTTGAAACCGATACCGATAACTTCCTGCTTCTCAAGACCGATACCGATAACCGATAATAATATAATATATATATATTAAATGTACCTGTAGTTTTTGCACACCTGGTGGTAAAAAAAAGACTAGTAGTGAGCAAAATGAAGTTAGAGATCGTTTTAGCCCTGGGGTCGTCTCTGGCAAACTTCTTGCCTTTTTCAAAAGCCTCGTCGATAGGTAAAAGCCCCGGTGCCTTTGCAGCTGGCTTTGGATTCGCCGCTAGTTTAGCAGCGCAGGCGTCTTCGTACGCTTTTAACACACCATCGTAGCGATGGCGATGTTTCAGGTGACTAATCAGGTTGGAAGTATTATAGCTCGTTGCCTTTTTCCCTCCTCGTGGAACTTCTGCATTTGTTAATACAAATAGCAAGCGAACTATCTAACTCTGAAACTTTGAAATAGTCCCATACTACCGACGACATGTTTGTTTACTGTCCTGGCTTCACGGCCGCACACCATTTACGTCACAGCCAGGCATGAGTTAGGGAGCGCTGGATTTGTGAAAAACTCCCCTCTTCCTAAACCACTAATACCACAGTACTGGCAAAACGGGAGGAGCCGAGTGAAAAACAAGCACCCCTCATCCCAATCCACCCACACCGCAGTATTTTATTCTTTTTTTTTACCCAAAAAATATATTGTATATTATCGGGGCTATTAATACTGTTATCGGGTTTATCGGGATGACGTCATAATTCCTAATATCGGACCGATAATTATCGGGCCGATAATTATCGTGCACCACTATTGATAACCAGTAACGTCATAATGTCAAAAACATTAGCTGTGTTAGCTTAGCGGTGGTGATGTGAAGTCATGTTACCTTTATGTAGTTTTCTTAGCTATTTACATCCTGTGATTGTATTTAAGAAGCCCAATCCAATGAAATATTACATTGCTTTTTGACGGGAACCTTTTGTGAGGATAACTTTGAAGCCGGCCCACACTGCACTACTCTCTTTGTCCTACCTATCTTTTCCCATTAAAGGATATGTCCAGTCTATTACAACCATCTGTTCCCGATCACAGCCATTTCTTAAACTATGGGCAAAGCTACAAGATAAGACCCACATTGTAATAAAGTGGAGTTCTCCTTTGACTGACACATGATTGGCAGCGTGTTTCCTGTCAGCCTCACCTCTTTGTTATCATTTACTGTGTGTTTGCCTCTCCACAGGTGACGCTGTGTGCCGATAACCCCTGCAGATATGTGGTGTGGAGGAGGAAGAAACTCTATCTGCTCTTTGCCAAACATCGCTACATTGCTAAGATCTTTGCCCTGGTGGTGCGCAACGATATCGCAGATAAGCTGTACTCTCTCAACGACAAGGCTTTCGACAGCTCCGGCCACCGCTACGATCTGCGCTTGCCCAGTTACTGTCACATGCCAGGGACCGAATTAGAAAAGGCAGATGTCTTCCTGCAAGTGCCGGTGCAGAGACCAAAGACTGCCTAAACACACACACACACACACACACACACACACACACACACACACACACACACACACACACACACACACACACACACACACACACACACTGCTGTAAACCATAAACACTAAAGTTACTCCTTGCATGTAGGAATAGGTGTTATCTGCACTGTGTTGGATTAGTGTGTTTCCAGCGTTGTTATGTTTAATCTGCCCACATTATTAGACCTCATGTAAAGTATGTAGGTGGAGCTGGCAGACTTCAACACACCATGTGTCAGAGGATACTCTCGAGGGGGCTGCTACTACGTGTAAACTGGGGTCACGTGATTTCAGCGGGAAAGGTTACAATCAGTATTCATTCATGTGCTGGAAAAATACCTGGGGCCTCATTTATAACGCCGTGCGTAGGATTCACGTGGGAAGGTTGCTTACGTAGTAGAAATCCCAAAAATAGGTACAGACATGTTCAGACATTTTCCGATTCACCAAACAATGCGGTGCAGCTTTTGCGGGCTTCACGTAACGCCCATATTTTTCTATAAATAGTCAAATAAACGCCCATTCATTCATTCATTCTGACTGACTTTATGAAGAAGATCGCAGGAAATGACGACAGAACAGCTAAAAAAGACATCTCACACCGTGTCAGATTTTGGTTATTTTGGGGAGGTGGAGATAAATCATATTGTTTGGTGGATGCCGTTTGAACCAGAGTAGCAGCATGGAGGTCGGATCGTCACCAAAATAAATAAATAAGTGGTCCAAAAAAGGTTCATGACAACAAAAATACACATAGCCTTCCTCAGGCAGTGTGTTTGTACCGGGGACAGGAGACCCCCCCTTGATGAGAGACTGTAAGACATGATCGGGGAATCCCTCCGGAGTTGAGTCATGACGACTGGATCTGAATTATGTTTTCGTATTTGGTGGTTTGTGTTCCAGCTGTCGATCAGCTGTGCGCAGCCTCTCCACTGCAGCAACTCTATATCCACCAGTTAGAGGAAATACAACTAATGTGTTGTGTTATATTAGCTGTACAATTGACCACATATGGTGTTCTTAGTTTCCATACCTCCTGTGTTTTATGAGCGACTTATCAAGTCTTAGCAAACGGCATAAAACATGATTAAACGTGATAGTATATAAAACCATGCTCGTACAACCTATAGAAATGCAAAACTGCATCATTTATTTAACATTAACACAACATAGTCGAGGTGGTTTTAAATAACATATCCGTATTTATTTCTCCAAGTTATGTTTTTGTGAGCACTGAGGAGTCGCAAACAGGCGTTTGTTTAATCATTTTAAGATTGGCTTTAATCAATGTTTGAAAATGAATTCTTCATATATGATAAATGAGAGGTAACATTTTGTTTATGGTATTATTTCCACATATTTCTCTCCATTCTTCCTTCTGCCAACGGTGTCGCAGTTTCTCGTCTCCCGTTTTTGTGCTTAGTGCGTAGGCATGGGTTAGAGTTTGCGTGGAGGACCGCACATTTTCCCGTCAAGTTTGTATTTTATAAATCGGAAATATTGCTTAGAAACTGGTGTCCGCCATTTTTTTAGCATATATCCCTTTATAAATGAGGCCCCTGACAGGAACGTGACGTCAGGGAGGACCCGCCTATTTCAGATGCTATGCGACGTACGTTGAAAGGATGAATTGCCAATCTAGAGTTTTGAAGAGAGATGAAATAAGCAAGAGGCCTAATTATAAAGTATCCACCACTTTCTTCTTGTTTGCTAAACCTGCAGAAGGTATTTCCTCCATATACACGGCCTATTTGGCGGGAAAAGGATATCAGTAGTTTCTTCCCAGGCAGTTTGAGAAAACGTTAACAGCTCTATAGAACTGATCTGTTGTTCCTGTCAACTTTAAAGGTCCCATGTCATGCTTTTCCGATTATTACCCGTCCCCTTGTGTGTTATGAAGGTTTTTATGCATGTAAACGGTCTGCAGAGTCACAAACCCTCAAAGTAGCCTACACCCTGTAGCGAGTAAAACTCTAACACAGAAAAGACCTCCCCAAAACGCCTCGTTGGAGATTTCTCATTTTCTTCCTGGGTACTGTGACGTGTGAATACCCAGAGGCCACACCCTCTGCCAGCCTTTCACGAAACAAAGCTTCCCAAACCTTTCAGTGATTCATGGCGGATATGTTCAGCGTAGGGCACTGAAGAACGATGCTGTTCCTACTTTGTTTGGACCAGCAGGAGATTCGGGTACACAACCTGTAAGTATTCATTGTTGTTTGTGTATTTATGATGTTTAAAACAAACAAGGTATCTACCACGACTGTTTGAATGAGTAAACGTTTTTCGGGCTACTACGTTGGGATCGCGGAGAAATTCTCTCCGCAGACCCATGCTCACAGCGTTATAAACAGGGGTGCACATAACTGGTACGCAGGTACGCATGCGCGGCACAAATCTGAATTGCGCAACGTCACTTGTGTCACTACGCGCCTTTGCGTACCTCAAAACTAGTGATGGGAATTCCGGCTCTTCTTGGTGAGCCGGATCATTTGGCTCGGCTCACCAAGAAGAGCCGGCTCTTTCGGCTCCCAAACGGCTCATCAGTTTACCACTTATTATACCTTTTAATTAAATCAAATGTAGCCCTGTTTTGACTAATGATTTATATGTGTACACATATATCACTTAAATTATTCAATACATCCTTTGTACTGAAGTATTCAAAAGTAAAAATTACATGTTTAATATAAATGATTTGCTGTGGCCAATTATTTTCATTGCATTTACAGACCCGTGCAACTCTCTGATACCACCCAATGAATGCATTGACTTGCTTGTAGAACCACGCTACACAAAACAGATAGCAACACCTATAAAACTATTTAAAAAAAGGGGCTACTGTATCGACCTATATAAAGTATATAAATATTATTATTTTTTCAAAATACCAAAAAGATCCTGCATTTTAGCCATGCCTCATTTCGCTCTATTTGCTCTTTCCAGCGCTGTTTTTGCAGGGGCTGATTCTGTGAGCTGCAGCTGACCACGCCCCCCTGCAGGAGAGGGGAGCGTGCTCTGAGATCAGCTGCTGGGCTGTCAGAAGAGGGGGAGAATCTCCGTCCTCCGTGTTTTATTTTTAGAGAAGTAAGAAGAGAAGTAATGGGGCAGAAACCCTCCTTTTTACGCAGCGGTCCAGACATAGACATCAAACGGCGACACATATTCAGTTGCCAGTTACTTTGGCATTAGGGCAGGGATATCTAGATACTTTCCAAGGTTTGACTAAATGAATTATGCTACTTTTAAAGCAAACAACGATGTTTTCAAATCTGTAATCAAAAAGCTCCTCAAAAACACTATCGAAGCAGTTCCTGCCGTTGCTACGTTAGTTCAAACAGTAACAACGGACTACTTTTCTTAGCGGATGCATGTCAATTTAAATCAATACAACTATGTTTTAAATCTCTAAAATCATTTTCATTAATATTGGGAGTCATGTCGTTACTTTGTTGAGAATATGGCCATGTAATAAGCGGGATAATGTGCACATTGCATAATGTGCCTTCATGCCGATCTAGATCCCTCCGCAAAAATGGCTCGTTCGCGGGCGAGAGCCGGCTCCCGTCGTTCACTTAAAAGAGCCGGATCTTTGAGCCGGCTCGTTCGCGACCGACACATCACTACTCAAAACATCAAAACAAAACACATATTTCGTCTACACGTGTTTCTTGTCTACACTCAATGGAGTAAAACAAAACAAAAATACATATACGTTGCCGTTTCGCTCCCTGCAAAAAATCTTCGGACTTTGACTGATTGACCTGGAGCTGTGCGAGCCGCGCAGGACATAACCGACGGACCTGTGAAGCTTACAGGAGGCAGAGGCTTAGATCAGTGGTTCCCAAACTTTTTGTGCCCAAGGCACACCAAAGGACAAGTAAAAATCTCAAGGCACACCTATTGTGCAAAATAGCCCTTATAACACGTGTTATCACTCATATCATGTAAAATATCTGTAAATGTGCATAATTATTTACTAATGCCAAATAAAAGACAACTATATTACTCATGAAATATTTATTAACGAAATATTTCAGAAATTAATTTGAAACGTTATCAAATTAGGCTTCATCAAAGCAGCAACACACTCATTTAAACCAGACAGGTCACAACATTAAAAATGAGGCAAAGGAAACTCAGCAGAAATTCAGCACAGAGAACTGTCAATGCAAGGAAGCTGCATTGTCCATGGTCCTGAACTAAAAATTATAAATGTAACATTTCAGCAATCAGCATTGAAACATGTGCTATTGTAAATATTTTTGCCGACTTACAAATTAGTGAGATACATGTGCCTGTCGAGGCGCGCAGAATGTTTTAATCCTTGGTGGCACTGAGGAGAGGGCTACTCGCAAGTCCTGTTCAACAGAGAGCCGTGACCTCCTGTTGTTCTTCATGTAAATCAGAGTAGAGAATGCCAACTCCAGAGATGGGGTCGTTACTCAAAAAAATGTAATATATTACATATTACTTTTAAAAAAGTAATATATTACACTACTTCGTTACTATCTACATAAAGTAACTCGTTACTTTACTCGCCGAGCACGTACAAACTGCGCATGCGTGAGTGGCAATAACTTTCCTTACCAGCAGGCGGCGGTAGTGTGTATTTGTCATTCAAAACAGGCAACAACCGGAAGACAGAGAAGAAGAACAGAATACGTGATATAAACAAACAACAAATAGCATGTGCGGTAGCTTCACCTTAGCATGTGTTCTTTGCAGGTGCTTGTTGAGGTTTGACGTGGTGTTTACAGCAGTGGATAACAGCTTCTGGCCTGGACACAGTTTGCACCTCACCGTCACATTCCTGTCTATTCTTCGGACGAACTCAAAATAATGGGCATACCTCCACCCCTCGAAAGTTATCGCTGACTCAGCCATGTTTATGCAGCACTGCACGTGGAGATGTGGACGCGCAAGTCGCGCAGATTACGTACATATAAACCTACAAAGTACTGATATGGTAAATACAAATAATTATTTTTGTGTAGTTGTATATTGCAATAATAATGTATGGTTGTGTAGTGCCGAGAGATATGGAGTCAGAGGCGGTGCAAGGAAGGTGCAAGAATAGTGATTTATTCACATGCTGTAAAGGACATGTTGTCGGGTCGCAGCCCGGGTCGACAAGAGAGAGCCAAGAGGGTACACACTATTTATAGGTAACCCATAACATGTCCGTGTGGGAACAATAACCGCAACTGTAGTTCCAAGTTTGAATTATGTCCCAGTGGTTAAATAGGTGGTCACCACACAAGCCCCCCCAGAATTCAAACATGGCAAAAAAATATATATCCCCACGTCCGTGGAGGAAGCACCACAAGGGCCGAGGAGGGTGGGGCCACAGGTGAGGACCGGGCCATGGAACGGGCCACGAAAGGGGGCCGCAGGAGAGGGCAGGGGCCCTAACGAGGGCGAGGGCACCCACACCGGGGGCGGGCCGTCGTAAGGGGGCCGCAGTAGGTGTCGCGGAGAACCC